TCGTCAATGCCATTGGCCATGGTCTCAGCCAGAGCCCTGCAGGGACACACAGAGAGGGAGACTGGAGTTAGGAGACAGGGTCTCGGAGGGACCCTCAGCTCTGGGATGCGGGACCAGGGAGGCCAGGCTGTGGGTGTTCTGGACCACACCACCGCCGCCTTCACTTAAGACTTCCCCCTCCACCAGAAGGCCAGCCTCCTGCCTCTCGGCTTTTCCAAATCCCAACTGCGATGCAGAGCCCAGCTCACAAGCTGGGGTTTTTCACTGTACCACGAGGTCTTTTCCTGAACTCCTAAGGCCTTTGGAGTTGAGCTTCCCGTGGGGCACCTGGCATATGCTGTTTAGCAAAGGCTACTGAAGCTTCTCGTGGGCATGATTTCACTGTATTCCACTTTATTAACATGCGATGGCAGGATACCACATGACACTCAATGGCTCTGAGAGCTACAGGATGGCATCCACTACTTACTCACACAGCATCTGTGGGTCCAGGGCCGAAGGAGGAATGTTCTCTCATGACTCAGTGTGGCTGCTGGGAAAACGCTCTAGTTTATTTCACAAATCCTTTGACTCCTGCAATAGGCTAACATCTGGCTACTGTTACAAGCTGAGTTGTGTCCCCCATGAATTCATAGGTTGAAGTCCTAATCCATAGTATCTCAGAATGTGACTGTATTTGGAGATGAGACCTTTAAAGAGGTGATTAAGTTTAAAGTGAGGTCTTATGAGTGGGGTCTAATCTCGTATGACTGGTGTCCTTATAAAAGGAGATTAGGACACAGACACACAGAAGGAAGACCAAGAAGACGGCCACCTACAAGCCAAAGAAGGAGGCTTCGGAAGAAACTGACTCTACCAACACCTCGATCTTGGACCTCCGGCCTCCAGAACTGTGAGAAAATAAATTTCTGTTGTTTAGGGCACCCAGTCTGTGGCACTTTGTTATGGCAGCCCAAGCAGACTGATATAGCTACCAAGAAACTTAAGGCTAATTTTTGGGCCCATTTTCAGCAAGAAAATGGAGGCCTTACGGCATATGTTTTTCCTTTTGACCTTCCCTTCTGATTTCATCTTAGTTGAAGTTTCCTTTCATTTTTTATCTTTTTTTTTCTTTTAAATACTGACATCCTATATATGTATGTCTGTGAGCTATGTCACCTATAAACATTTAAACTCAGTATTAAATTTGAATGCATCAGTAGTTAATTTGTCATATCCATATTCTGTTACCCTCAAGGAAACATCTCCTACAGGTAGAAGCCTCTCTGAGACACCTTAGCATTGTATATATTAAACGTGAAGTGTGACCAATGAGAGCCACCAGGAAGGAGACATGCAGGACACAGGGCAACAGGCATCCCTCCCTTCAGGGAGCAGAACTTGCAGCCCACACCAGCAGATTCAACCTGGGCAAAAAGCTACCTCGATTTTTATGCGAGAGCAAAAAGGGCCCTTCTACTTAGGGCAAAGCTTGATCGTGGCCCATGGATAAATCCTAGCAAAGGCCTGGTCCTTACCCTGGTTTAATTACAGTGAGGAGAAAGAAAAAGAAAAAAGAAACCCCGAAAGCCCCATGCCCCAGTGGGAAGAGCTTTGGGGATCCCCACACGCTTATCTTCTGGATGTTTCTGTCATAGGAGAGCAGATGCAGTGGGAGGGGGCAGACTGAGAAATGCCAGGCCCATAATGTGTACCCCAAGTGGGGCCTAGATGCACCAAGGACCTGGTGGGGTGAGGTGTGCAGGGTGCTGGGTGCTCCTCCTCCCTCCCCCTTTCTCCTCGATTCCAGAGGGCCCCAGCCTTTCCTGAGCAATCCCACCTGGGCAGGTGCTCAGGAGGTTTCCCAGAGTGAAGGCTCATTGCTTTCCTGCCTTCTTATCTTTAAAAGGGCCAGAGACCCCATGGGCCATGCATTCATTTCGCAAATAATCTTTGGGTTTCTCCCTGGGGATACACAAAGAACAGACCAAGAAGGCCCTGCTCTGACAGAGCTCACAGGGGCATAACAACAGTGAGAAAGATGTAGCAGGGTTCACTGAAGAGGAGTGAGATACCACTATACACCTACCAGAATGGCTAAAATAAAAAACGGTGCTAACACCCAATGCTAATGAGGATGTGGAGAAACTGGATGGCTCATACATTGCTGGTGGGAATGTAAACGGTATAGCCGCTCTGGAAAACAACTTAGCAGTTTCTTAAAAACGTAAATATGCATTGAGAAAATGATATCTTTTTCTAATTCTCACAAAGCTTTCGTGTGGGTAGCAGGGCTCCGACCCTCAGAGGGACCCTCTCATCTGAAAAGACTGTGAATGAAATGCCTCTTTGACTACTAAGTAAAAAGCCCAAATCAATAAAACTTCAGGAGGTTAGAGCCAAGTTGTTAATTTTTGGCGGGTGGGGGAGTGCCCACAATTCTTTACGCTTTCCTTCATCTCTTAAATAGAGGCTCTGAACCTGCTGGACCATGTATCAGTAGTCAGTGTCTCATCCAAGCTCACTGAGGGATGCAGACTGCTGTCCCTTCAGCTAAATGTCCTGTCTCCATGCTTTTGTAGACATGTCTGCTTGAGATGGGGATCAAGAGCCCATGGCTGTGAGACTTCGGGAGGCCACTCCAGCTCTCTGGGCTCCTGTGGCTTCAACTTGCCATCGGGCGGTCATGGGAACTCTAATAACCAGTGTCACGACTGAGAGAAGCCAGAAGCACAAAGTGGATCTGGATGAAGAGGGGGCAAGAGGCCCAAGTGACCCTGGACTCAAAGGCTGGTCTGCCCAACAGCGACTGCTCACCATGGCCTGGTTGGGAGCCTGTGTCTCATTCCCGGAGGAGGGGATATAACAGTGCTGCTGGGGGCTGTTTTTCCAGGCAAGAGGTGGGGGCTTGCTGTTTTGTTTTCTCTTTGGGAAGAAGTGCCCCTTCATTGCACTCTGGGAGCTCCCCAGGTGACCCTGCGATTCCCATGCCCTGGAGGGCCCAGACAGCTGTGTCCCAAAGGGGTGGCCACACCCTCCCCCACCTTCCGGCTCAGGCCCTCCATCCCCTCCCTCCCATCGCCCAAGCCAAGGCAATTCTGTCTCCAAGAATAACAAGCTCAGGAAAGAGCATCCCACACACACACACACACACACACACACACACACACACACACACACACACACACACGCTCTGCCCCT